GAGCTTGTCTCTGGATTTTAGCTACTGTATTAGCCGTTTAGTATTATAGGAGATATTTACAAAAACGACACGGGATTAGATATTCGAATATATAACAAGCTTTGCCAAACTCCTCTACCACAGTGCTCAAATCAATTTAATAGTTTCTTTGCTTGCAAAGAATGCAAAGTCAGTCATGCATTTATACAAATTAGTAAAATATTTTTATCAACTCAGTTTGCAGTTATGATTTAAATATACATTGTTTACACAACTGTGACAGGCTGTTGATTGTAGAATGTTGACTTTTCGATGCCCACCTGTTTTCGTTGCTGTCATGCGATGACCTGCGGTCCTGCTTAATATCTTCCGCATAGCTAGCAGCGCCTGGAATGAGATCCGCATTGCTAGCCTGCACATCAAGCATTTCACTGCTGTTAGAGACGTGATTTTGATTGCTGCGCGAATGCGTTTCTATGACGTTAAGGGCCACAGTTTGTGAAACCTGTCGCGATATGCGTGTGTCATCTGAGAAAGTAAATGCTCAGCAATGAATAAATCAGCTTTTGTGTGTTTTCCGTTTACCTCCAACTGCTGCTGCGGCGGCGGCTTCGTTGCTGCTTATTATGCAAAATTCATCGTCACCGGTGTCCCAGGCATCGCTCACCGATTGTTGATAGTCCCGAAAAGTTGACACCATTCCGCCAGCGGCGGTACGATCTCCACGCTGCACCGCTGTCCCACCTCCACCGCCCGACTTGCCGATGTTTGTGTTTGTGTTGTCGAGAAAATCGCGTTTCGGACTGGGCCGCCCGGGCACTGCTCGGCCGCTGTTCTTCCAGAACGATGCTGAGTTGCTTAAAATGTTTGTGACTGCCTTAGCGCCAATTGAAGCGCTATGTGTCGCCGCAACTAATTCGTTCGAATTTGCTGTTGTCGTTGCAATTTTCGGGTTTTCTTCTATTTGCCCTACATTATTGTCCATAATAAATATCGAAGTCCGATGTTAGTGTCAGCGTCATTGCATTTGTAGCAGTGTGACCAACCACGCAAAAGACTAAAAGACGGTGCTTACAGCCAACTGTCTATTATTTGTGTTATTTTTAGTGAATGGGTAGCACTGGGCATCAATGTAAACATGTAAATGAAGAACAATTTTTGTGCCAATAAAATAAAAGGAATAGTTTCTAAAACATATGATTTATTATTGACAAATTTCAATTACAACAATCGTCTATATGTTTATGGTTTTCATATTTCTTTCATAATTGTATTGATGGATTACTGCAATGACTTGCACTTTTTTTTTTTTCATTATTCACCATTTCCAACAATTTAATTTTGTAATTAATTATTAATTATATTGAATGACATTCTTCTTGATAAAAAGAAATTACCATATCCATATATCACCGCAATAAACAAGTATAAAAGTTTCAAACTTTTTATTATTCGGTCACACTGCAATTGAAGCGAGTATTATTTGGTGTGATAAGGAGACGAATTTCATTACTCTTTATAAAATTGCGTACCAAAATATGCTTCTACGGAATTAACAGAGAAACAAGTTCGGCCTAAAAATGCAAAAACAAGAGGAGATCACTACGCGCCTCAAAAAGATCTTCGATTTATTTCTGCGCGACAACTTTTCGACAACCGACAGTGTTTACTTTGAAAAGCTCATAACGCACCTGCAAGCAAAGGGTAAGTTTGTATATACGCCCATGTGTGCGTGTGTGCAACAGGCGAGCGGCATTTCTAACATTGTTTTTGTGTTTCTTTTCCGATAGAGAATGCATTTGTGCTGCAGGTGCCTTTCGTCACGGATTGGGTGGACAAGTGTCTGACTCTAATCAGCGCCGATTTCCATCGAGTGCATCCTAAAGTGATATCGTTTATGCTAAATCTAATCAGTTTCATGACATCGAACGAGTGGATGGTGCTGCGCTTGCGAGAGCTAGACATAATGCATAGGTAATGGCGCATCATCAGCTGCAACTTTGTTGACATCATTGTACGAACTTTTGCAGGGTTGTGTTCTTTATGCAGGCGCAGGAGCGCAACTTTAACCCTTCCATCAAGCTGAGTGGCATCCGCGTGATGAAGGCCGTCACAAAATACAGCATGGGTCTGGCATTTCTACGCATGCAACGTACCTGGATGCTGCTCATCAACTATAGCAACAACGAGCACACGTTGTATGTGGTGCGAGAGGCTCGAGAACTGCTATACGAGATGATATTCAAGTTTTGTGATAAAATGCACGACGAGGCTGTTACCCTAGAGATTTTAGCAGAGATCATGAAGCCAATACAAGAAAATGTCTACATAACAGAGAATACCAGTGAAAGTGCCAGCGGCGAGGAGGAGCGCATTCATGTTAGTGTGGATGATAATGAGCTGCTACACAAGATCTCCTCAACGGTGGATCTTCTATGCTACATACTTCAACAGACGCTTCTCAGTGAGGAGCGCACGAAGCTTGTTTCCCTTCTTCGGGAGCACCACAACATAGAGATAAACATCTGGAAGCTCGTTGAGATGACGCATAATACTTATTTCATGGAAAAGATGCTCAGCGCGCTTTGCAGCTATCATTTTGCCACGCTAGTTCACGAGAAAATATTGAATCCCGATTGTGGGGAGCCGCCGGAGCAGTTTACAGAGTTTGGACTCGCGTTTTTTAATCTCATGAAATTCTGCATACAGCGCAACGATGGAATCAACTTTGTTAAAATGGCAGAACTGCATCACATACTGTGGAAGAAGCTTGGCAATCGGGTGCCCAAGGAAATCATTATACAGGACGAACGCGTTTCATTTGAGAATCAATTAATTTGCTTTCATATGATGCCTTTGCTATTCTCAATGAAATTCGCCATGAAAATGGCCGACGAGTCGAAAAGCGAATTATTCGATACGTATATTATAAAACTTTTAGAAATGTCCTGCGAGCAAACGTTGCGATTGTGTTACGCATTACGAGACACATTTATCACACCTGAAGGTCGCACCAATTGTAATTTGTTCACACCTGAGCTGGCCTGGAAATGTGTGCACAGCATTCTCTCATTGGAACATATACTGGACCGCGAGCAGGCGGTCACCGTCTGTCAGGCCTTGCTGTATGCCTTGCGTGAGGTTGTGGCCCTTAATCATGCCAGCACTCACACAGAGCCAGAGGATTGCCATGGTGCAAGTACATCGAATAACTATTCCGACATTTATCCACGTGGCTCGGAAGTAATTATCAAGGATCCTAAAGTCTTACATTCCGTGATGGTTGGCCTCCGTACTCTCATCGAACGATTCAAAATCACGTGGAAAGAGTCTGTAGAGACAATAGGTCTGGTTAACTGCTTAGCATTTGTTCTGGAGAACTGCAACATGGACCCAACAGTGAATAAACGGAATGAAACTATAAGAAACTAGATATTAAATCTTATTTAATTGCAGTGCACTGTCCAGGCCCTGAAGCTTGTTCAATTGGCTGTGGAGCATTTCCTGTCCCCTAATATGGCATTGCTTGTCGATAATCTACAGGGTTCGGCTTTGGTTTGCCTGGGTCCGATAATAATCAAGCGAATGCACGACACCGCGTGGGAAGTGCGCGACTCTGCCCTGGAATTGACCACATCCATTGCCTGTATCTCTCGCATAAGTAATTGCTTTTAACACTTTTGAATGCCTCAAGTCTAACTAGTCCTCATATATATTACAGAGTTTCCCGCATTCCAACAATTTCTGATCGATGGCAAAATGCCAACCATCGTTTACGAAATGGCCAAGCATGACAGTGAGCCATATGTGCGTGCCTCTGCCTACAAATGTCTGTCGCAAATGGTACCCATTAATTCTATATGGGAGAACGGACTTAGCCAATTGGATATGGTGGTAAGGATTGGATATTTATTATAGAATAAGTAGCAGCTTGAAATTAGTACAATAGTAAGTAATTTACCATAGAGTACTGCTTATCTGTAAACACTGCTTTAATTATGAACCAAATTAAGTGATGGGTATAAAAATTCCATTTTCTTTGCAGGATCATTTGCTCTACGTGCTTTATCGTGAGAATGAGGATATTGTACGCTCAGAGGCCATATTAACTCTTAGCAAGATATATGATCATCGCAAGATTCCCAGCAAATATAAGAATACATTATTTTCAACGCTCAACTATTGCGTGGTAGGAGATCATCATTGGGAAGTCAAAGTGAATGCCCTTTGCTTTTGGCGTATGGAATTCAATCGTCAACTGAACAATCAGGGCATGATCGATGGCTCCTTTCCCACCGTCACGTTTTCCAAGGAGCACAAAAAGATAGTCACACTAACCAGACGTGAGGTTAGGCTGCGCGTGGCTAAAGTTTTAGCGGAAGTACAACAGTACGGTTACTATGGCATTATTCTTAAGTGCCTTCAAGAGGAATATTCCAAGGAGGTGCTGAGTCTAATAGCGACAGGCATCAAAGCAATGAACGATAAACTAAATGAATATGACTTTGAGATCATCTTAAATGATATTGAAGCGCTAACTCAGCCCATTAACAGTCCCAGATCTAACCCTTCATCAACGATTGAAGAGCCAATGTCAGTTGAACAGGAATTGAAGGAAAGTGAGTTAAACGTGAATTCTGAGCAGACAGACGATATTATCGAATCTATATTAAATGCACAAGACGTTCAACTATTGGAGAATGCATTTAGAACTCAAATGAATATCGATAACGAGGATACAGCGAAACGCCACATCGATGAATTCTATTATAAACAGTTTGCAGTTTCTGTGCGTGAATGGAAACAAGAAATAGGTAAATTTGATTTGGATAAACTAGTCAGACAACAGGAAGAGTGGTTTGATTGTAACGATAATTTGGTTTGCCTTTTGGATGACATACTGAATGCTATAAAACGGGACGATAATATGATATCAGATTGCTATTGAGTCAGTCAAAGTTGTCTAATGTTTAACTATCTAAGCAAAAAATTGTTTTCCTCAAAATAAAAACTATTTTTCATATATACGGAGATTGTGAATTGGGAGCGGTTTTCAGCAATAATACAGATTATTATGGCCCACCGTAAATACAAAAAAAATACTTAGATTGGCTGAAATTATTGCGTTGCAAACGGCTTTCCGATTTCGGAAACATAATTCAAAATTTAAATAAGCCATTCTTATATCAAAATGTGTTAAACGACCTTAGAACCTTGAGATATTTATGAAAAACCGCCTTCTGAAACTTGAAAAAAAAAAAAAAACTTTTACTTACTAATTTATCTCATTTCGCATAAATTTACTTTCAATATATAGTTACCTTCAGTTTTTTTTTTTTTTCAATTATTGTATATCAAAGCAGTCTTGAATTTTAAGAAATATCTATACATATATCCATCAATGCTTAAAAGTACGTTAATATTTAAACACTTATAGACTAGACATGTAGAACAAACTTTTTCAACACCGAAAATACGCTCTCTGGTTTTACAAACGACGATAAATATCAGATTGCAGCAGGGCTCATCTCTTAAAGCGATATTTTTCCTGTATACTCATGTGGCAATGTTATTGTATATATCGGTAACTACCATGCGATATTTGAACTATCATAATTGTGTGACACGGTTCCATCTCCGTAATTTCAAAATGTTATAGTGTGGTCACACGGTTTGACAGACAGAGTTAGTCATGGTGGAAAATTCGAGGAGAGCGTACCTATGCGCAAGAATAAGCTAAGAAGAAAAAGTTGAATATTGATTAAAATTTCTGCAAAAAAAATATATATGTAATTATATATTGTAAATGTCTTTAATTTAAGTGATAAAAATCAAATATTTGTGTAACGTTTAATATTTTAATACGCGACAAAGTACAACGAGTGAAGCTAATCGCACACGAAGAAAGCAAGAAGCAAAAGCACCAATTAAATATACAAAAATAATTAATGCAAAAGCAAAAACTTTTCTTGTGTGTGGCACAACTACAAAATTAAGATTGTAAGCGGTCGCCGTGTACTTTGCGAAAATAATAATAAAAAAAAAAATATATTGTAATGAAAACTACGTTAAACAGAACCGAATCAGAATCAGTTAATAGTGTGATTTTTTGAACCTTTGTCTGTAAGTGAGAGGAGAAAGCTTTAAGCGGAATCCCTTTAAGCAAACATCCCGTCGCCATTTTGAAAGTTTTATATACATACAAACAAAAATATATATATACGTACACAAATACACATAACCAACAGAGAAAATCAACAAAAACATCAGAAACTATTCACGATCCCCCTATATAATAACTATCGCAAAAGCTAAAATAGTGGAAAACAGTGAAAACAAATTCCTAAAAATAAATTCACAAAAATTAATAATCCGTATAACAAAGTGGAAAAGAAAAAACCCCCCGCAGCTGCGACGCAATCAGTAACTGCGACACATATACAGTCGTCTTCTTCACTCTCACACCGATTTACCGAAATCAGTGAGTGTGCGAGCAAGCTAGACTGAAGCAACAACAACAGCAATATTCGTGTGAAAAGGTTTACAACTCAAAGTAAGTCGCAAATGTATTGTGTATAAAGTTTGTCTTTACATATGTTGATTCATCAACACACGTTTGACGTCGTTAGAAACATCACATACATATTTTATTTCCATAGGCAATCAGAAAAAGAAATGTACGTGATTCTATAGCTAAATACTTAAAAGTAGATCATTTGACATTGTTTGCAAATGTGCAACCCTTTTTTTTCAAGTGTCAAGCAATGGACGTAAATAGAACATGCATTGTATATACACACAAATATATTTATTCACATAAATACATGTATACATGTTATGCGCATGCATGTATGTATACATCGTTTGTTTGTAATTTGCTTATATATTTGTGTTCGCTTTCGTTACGTTTTTTGCTCAACGATTTTTTCCCGTTTGTTTTCTTTCCATTTTTACTTACACCAACGTACAGGACCCGGGACCCCGGCTTGGATGACAGCTACGACAAAGGCAAAAAAAGAAGAGAAAAATAAAAGTAAGAGAGTTTGGAAAATTAGCGCTAAGAAGGATAGCCTAACAAAAAAGAGATAAATCAACAGACTGATAAACAATACATAAAGTTAAACTATATAAAGTATATTAACTAAAGTTGTATATATATAACGAGACACAAACCGAACGCAGCAGCTACAGAAGTAAAAAAGAAGAAAAGGAAACAACGTGAGCAACCGTAAACCCGTTAGCCGCTACTGTAGGATAGCGCGAGAGAGGAGCAGGAGCTGAACAGGAAGAAAGAGCGGCAGTAGCATCGTCGAAGCGAGCCAGAGTGACGAAGAAAACAACGGATACGGAGGAAAGGCAGGAAGCGAAGCAGCAGCAGGTCGCGTTTGTTATCGATAAATAAAAAGAAAACTATAAATAAAAATTGATTTTAAGTGCGTGTGATATTTAACGTTAAGCATTAATTTAGCCAATAACCAAAAACAAAAAGGCAAAAAAGCAGAAATTTTAACAAGGAAAGAAGAGAGATTGATCGAACGAGAAAGGGAAAGAGGAGAGAGCGCACTTGGGGTCAAGCTCAGTTTAGATTGAAAAAGAAGAGGAAGAAGCAGCAACAGTGTTGGAGAAGCTTTTAACAGTGAAAGCAACGAAAAGCAAGAAATTACTATGACATACTCGCACAATAGTGTTAGAAACAACATTAAAATGACAACAGCATCAGCAACAAAGTCTATACGCTTGAAAAAGGGCGCCTCAACCCCAACACCGCCCCCAACATCCACAACAACAATAGATACAGCAAGTCCCACGGTAAATGCACATTCCAACAGTATTGCCAGCAGTACAAACTTCAGCAATCAGCACTTCCAGCAGCAGCAAGTTTTGAGCACATCGCCCACCCACTGCGTCCCCATCACGCCCAACAACCGCATGCAGCAGCCGCCGCAGCAGCAACGTCTGCAAAGCCAATCCGCAGGCGCTAATCAGCGCAGTCGGCAGCAGCGACAATCGCCCCAGCAGATGGGCGGTGGCGGCTTCTTCTTTGCGAACAATAATCGGCGCAATGGCGGCGGTCCCCGATCGCCACAATCAGCAGCAGCAGGAGCGGCAGGAGCTGGAGCAACCGGCAGCAACAACGGCTATGTACGCCAATCTCCGGCTACGATTTTGGGTGGCGGCTTCTCACCGGCGGTATTTGGTTCTGCACGCAAGCAACGTCGCAGTCCAACAACAACACCAACGAGCAGCTTTGGCGTGGGCGGGAAAATATCGCCACAGCATCAACTGATACCCACCGCCTTGACGCATTTCGCTGGCAGCAAATGCTTCGATGCACCAGCACCAACGGCATTGCCCAAGCCGCCGCAGCACTGGACATCATTGTCCAAGTCCGAGGAGAAATTGGTAGCCAGCAGCGCTGGCACCGCCTTGCAGAGTTTGTTGCGTGGCGGAGACAGATGCAGTGCGTCCAAATTGCAGCCAAGCCATGGTGGCATCGGTGGATACGTGGTGAAGTCGTCCAAGCGCAATCTCCTGGATGATTTTGATACGCACAATCTGAAACTGTTGCTGAACATGCAGTCGTAACGCAGGAACCACATCTAAAACCACAACAATAATCTGAACATGGAGGACCCAACACGAACCCGTCAGACTTGGAAATGAGAAAGGAAACGATTAAAAAAAATGAAAGGATTAAAAAATATAAAAATTGTAAAAACTACACTTTAAAAAAAAAAAAAAAAAAAAAAAAAAAAAAAAAAAAAGAAAAAAAAAAAAAAAAAATTAAAAAAAACCCTTTTAAAAAAAAAAAAAAAAAAAAAAAAAAAATCAAAAAACTACAAATCATTTAAACTGAAAATTTGAACTTTTTTAACAAAAAAAAACAAAACAAAAACAAAAAAAAAACGATGAGTAATGTTTGTGATCTCAAATGTATCATAAAACAGCAACAATATTGGGAAACTAAAAATAAAAACAAAAACAAAAAAAAAAAAAAGGAAAAATTCCAAATGGAAAGTAAACAATTGAAATACAACAACGACAAAAGGTACACAACAAAAAGATGCAAAATTCCCCGTTGACAAAAACAACACGAACAACACACCACAACAAAATTCAGCTCTTAACTTCAATATGTAAACTTTGAGTAGCCATCGACGATTTCAAAAATGAAAACCCTAACCTAAAAAGATGCAAAACAAAATTAAATTTAATATATGGACGCTTGGCTAGTTGGAATTTTGGAGAGAAGAGAATGGCTCTATATGTATGTATAACGGATACAACAACAACAACACACAACTGAACATTGTTTTATAAACGTGATACGCAAATAGACTTGAAAAATGTAAATGTAATTAATAAGTAAAATTATAAATTATATAAAATATGTACGATTGTATTTATGAGTAATTAAACAAATGACGCTAGAAGCGCATACGCATAAGTACACAGCTTATGTTTACATATATATAGATTCCCCAAGCGGACAACATGTGCAACGTACCTTAAAGAAGAAGAAAGAGTAACTGTTGAGAGATGAGCACACACACATAGAAATTGAAAACTGAAAATAGAAAACAGCGAAAAGGAAGGAGTATGGATAAAATTAAATTAAAATCTAAAAAAAAAAAGAATAAATAAATAAATAAAAAGAAAAAGAAAACATTTATAACGATAATAAAAAATGATAATAATACCACCCACCAAATCACAAAAGACTAATTCAACAAAAAAAAATAAATAATTAATTAATTAATTAAAATGAAAAAAAGAAGAGAAAGAGAAAGTAAAGAAGGACGACAAACTCAACGCTGCAGCAACAGCAGAAGCAGCGCAAAATGCATTCAACTTGCCTAATATAACAAAAACACACACTCACACACATACAAAACAAAACTCAACGGCCTCTCTACCTTAAGATATCATATAATACAATCACCACGAATACCCACTCACTAGCGCCAGCCTCACTGGGTATATACATATAGGTATAGGTGTGTACACTTATATACACACACACACACACACTCAATCGCCAGCCTCACTTATATGCATATATAGTAGATATATATGTATATAGCATAAAAACTTCCACTAATTTTAGTTTTAAACACAAAAACCAATGGCTTTAAAATTCTAATTTAAACATTCTTGAATTGTATATAATGTAACTGTAAAAAACAAAAAATTCAACCAAAATATATCTTTAACAAAATTGCCTATGTTTAAAAGAAATTTATATTTTGATGATTTCTTAGCGCAGGCGCAAACATATTATTTCAATTACAAAAATAAATTGTTTTTGCGCTCCAGCTAAAGAAAAATTACAAAATTAACGATTTCGTAAAATTGAAACTTTGTTGCAATTCTCCACACCCCCCGAAAAATACGCTTTATGTAAGATTACGATATGCTTAGAGTTAGAGAGGAGGGTGATAATCAAACATTTAAAAAACAAACTACTTTCTGTGTAAACTATGCTCATATATTGAAAATACCTAAAAATAACGAGAGACAAAAGCAAAAAAGAATGAAAGATGAATGATAAAGAAGAGAGAGAAAAAAACACTTGAACCCAGTACCTTATTTTCATTATTAGCATTTAATATTAATTGTTAATAATTAATATGTATGTAAATTATTTAAGCATAAAGTGCCCAATGTAACCTCTGTCTATGTATACCCCACCCTTCCCACACTCCTTTCCACAAATATCCCAAAGTTAATTGTATTTTGCGTAAAATGTGAAGAACTTAAAAAAACAACAACAAATTGAAATGTGAAAAAGCAGCGAGAGTTTTGTTGTTCCAAATATTTTCTTTTCCTTTTCTTTTTAAAATGATTTTTTTTGTTTGTAATGAATTGGCTCTTTGTGTGATATGCCAAATGAAAGGAAATAAATCCCGCACAATTTAATTTTTTGTTCTACATTTGTAGATAGTTTATTAGTTAACTTTTCGCTACAGCTAAATTTTTGAAATGAAAACGATGATGTTAGTTTTTAGTGTTGAAAAGAAAAGCCAAAAAGTCATGCATTATTGATTAGGTTTACTTGAGAGCAAGTTGTCATATATATTGGTAGCTTTAAAGCTTGTATTCTTCAAGTTACTATACATACATACATACACACTCACACATATGCATGTACCCCTACATATACACATTTACACTATACTACTAAGAGTATTTTATGAGGCAATCGTGTTCGAGCAGTGCTCAACACTAAGTCAATAAACTAAAAGCTACACAGAAATACACACACACACACACACACACACACACTCATTTGCATGCATGCATATATACATATATACATACAGTTTGAGGTAGCTGAGAAGAACTCAAGAAATTGTCGCGCAGAATTTTGCATTTTTTTTAAAAGTGTAAGCTATTAAAAATTGAAGATGAATAAATAAATATTAACATTTGTTACTGGACGTCAATTTAAACAAAGCGTACATTTGATAAATATGAGAACAAAAAAAAAAACATACCAATAATATAAAACACAAATATTATAATGAAAAACTGTACCCGAACCAAAATGGAGCACATCTAGCATGAGCTTTTTTTTACTTACCTTCGAGTCGTAAGAGCGGCAAACTTTGATAACTTTTTAAATACAAACAAAAAACACCAATCAGTACAAATTAATTTCCATTTTAAAGTTTTGGAGCCTTTAAGAGCCAGGCTCCCACTGCGAAGTGTGTCGCACCGCGATTCGAAGCTAAATAAAAAAGAAAACAAATGAAATGAAAGAAAAAAGTTTTTAAAAAATTGTTAATTTTTTATTT